GTTTTATTTCGCCACAACTTCCTCCTCTTCCGTTCCTCCTTTTTCCTCACAGTTTTTATAGCAGCAACAGCTCCTCATAAAACTTTACGATGGGCTAATTAATGGTAATATCAATATGTTTAATTTAATATTTAAGAAAATCTCAGCATTAAAAAGTCAGAATTTGTTCAGCTTTTAATATCTGACCAAATTCCAGAGACTCTCTAATAAAATCTCACATAAACATTTTAAATCTCAGCTTTTCTTTTCTTTTTTTTTTCCGCCTTTGTTTTCACAAGTGTTCCAAGTCAAACTGAGGAACTGATGGTTCCTTACAACACCTGCGGATTGTTATGTTTCCTTGCTAATAGATGGCGACTAAAATTAGAACTTATTTTAGAAAATGGGGTGGTTAGGAAAGAGTGAACCCTTTAAAAGTAGAAATTATATTTTTATTTGGCTTGAACTAATTTAAGCGTGTGTGTGTGTGTGTGTTGGGGCTGTCAAAGTTGAACGGTCCTGAGAACAACGTCTCTATCAGAGCCTCTACAGAAATACACAGAGTGGTGGACATGTGCATCCGGACTGTCATCTGGTGTGGAAGTGGTAGAGTGGGAGACCACCCACGAAAAAAGCTGAGCAGTGGGACGTGAGTGAGTCTAAAAAAGAGGAAGCAGAATCAATGGAAAAGCAAAGGGAATGCGGAGGTTGAATGGATGTAGGAGGTGATGGCGGCTGCTACGGTTTTACTGTACGTCCTCTACAGTTTTCTTTTTTTTTTTTAGCTGTATCACTTCTGGGTTTTATGCACATTTGCTCACACAGCCATCATAAAGTTGCTCAGAAATTGCTGCTAATAGAGTCAATCATTTTAGGTTATGTCCCTGAGATTTACTTAGCTGAATGATAACATGTCAGAGAGGAAATTAGAAGGTGACGTTTCCCATATTTCTCCTGAGTTTACATGATCAGGGTTGGACGCGCTGAGCAGATGCTCTTAGGATATGGATGCTTTACATCGGAGGTCTTCAACAGGGGACCGTCACCCCTAAAGTTTTGGTTCATTATGCTTTTTTTTATATATTCCCCCCTGGCAGTTTTTCCACTAATTGAAATGTCTATAAATCCACATAAACATGAATTCAACACGCTGTAGTAAACAGATAAATGGAGGCAGAAGATGTCTTTCAGTCATCAATGCAAACATTCAGCGACACACAGGAGCTCTTTCAAGCTAGACACCGTTTCATTCACAACACCTGTCCCATCAACCAGGAATCATAATCAGAAATACTTTAATAATCCCTGGGAGAAATTACTTTAGTTACATTACTCCATATGTAATAGAGTAACTATAGGACCAGTGTGATATTACACTATTTCATACCATATATATAATTAGGGGGTCCCCGCTCCATCTCACCATCAGTTTGGGGGTCCTTGGCCTGGAAAACGTTGAAGACCCCTGGTTTACATGATTTTGGATAAATCTTAGTAAACCATCAGGTTTTGTTGCAAAGGAAACTGAAAGTTTCACTCACTGCATTTGATTACACTCACCGGTCACTTTATTAGGTACCCCATGCTAGTAACGGGTTGGACCCCCTTTTGCCTTCAGAACTGCCTCAATTCTTCGTGGCATAGATTCAACAAGGTGCTGGAAGCATTCCTCAGGGAGTTTGGTCCATATTGACATGATGGCATCACACAGTTGCCGCAGATTTGTCGGCTGCACATTCATGATGTGAATCTCCCGTTCCACCACATCCCAAAGATGCTCTATTGGATTGGGATCTGGTGACTGTGGAGGCCATATGAGTACAGTGAACTCATTGTCATGTTCAAGAAACCAGTCTGAGATGATTCCAGCTTTATGACATGACGCATTATCCTGCTGAAAGTAGCCATCAGAAGTTGGGAACATTGTGGTCATAAAGGGATGGACATGGTCAGCAACAACACTCAGGTAGGCTGTGGTGTTGCAACGATGCTCAATTGGTACCAAGGGGCCCAAAGAGTGCCAAGAAAATATTCCCCACACCATGACACCACCACCACCAGCCTGAACCATTGATACAAGGCAGGATGGATCCATGCTTTCATGTTGTAGACGCCAAATTCTGACCCTACCATCCGAATGTCGCAGCAGAAACCGAGACTCATCAGACCAGGCAACGTTTTTCCAATCTTTTATCGTCCAATTTCGATGAGCTTGTGCAAATTGTAGCCTCAGTTTCCTGTTCTTAGCTGAAAGGAGTGGCACCCGGTGTGGTCTTCTGCTGCTGTAGCCCATCTGCCTCAAAGTTCGATGTACTGTGCTTTCAGAGATGCTCTTCTGCCCACCTTGGTTGTAAGGGGTGGTTATTTGAGTCACTGTTGCCCTCCTATCAGCTCGAACCAGTCTGGCCATTCTCCTCTGACCTCTGGCATCAGCAAGACATTTCCGCCCACAGAACTGCCGCTCACTGGATGTTTTTTCTTTTTCGGACCATTCTCTGTAAACCCTAGAGATGGTTGTGCGTGAAAATCCCAGTAGATCAGCAGTTTCTGAAATACTCAGACCAGCCCTTCTGGCACCAACAATCATGCCACGTTCAAAGTCACTCAAATCACCTTTCTTCCCCGTACTGATGCTCGGTTTGAACTGCAGGAGATTGTCTGACCATGTCTACATGCCTAAATGCACTGAGTTGCCGCCATGTGATTGGCTGCTTAGAAATTAAGTGTTAACGAGCAGTTGGACAGGTGTACCTAATAAAGTGGCCGGTGAGTGTATGTTTGCAAAATAATAATTAAGTCATCAGATGTGTGGGAGGCTAACAGCTAATCAGTTGAAGGCTGCTGTTTTAGCTGATTTTAACAACTCATATTATTTTAAATGTATGCATCAGAATCAAGGCTGTATAGTGGATTTATTATGATTTGTTTTAGCTAGTGGGCTTTAGTTTGACAGTGAGTTGACAGGAAATGGGGTTAATAGAGGGGAAAATGAAAGCAACAAAGGTCAACAGGTCGGGACTCGAACCATTGACAGCTGCGCTCAGGACTAACAGCCTTTTCAGAAGAGACTCAGCGGGTTCACAACTGCTTCTGACACTCATTAATAACGTTGGCAAAGCTTTATTGCTGCATCAAGTAAAGCATATATGGAGTGAATTTTATTGTTGCATGTACAGAATACATTTTGTAAATAGAAATTTTAGGAAAAATGCATTCCAGAACCAAAGTTGTGTAAATCGAAAACAGGTTTTGAGAGAAAATGTGTTGTTTTCTCGAATTTATTTTTCAAATCTGTATTTTCAGGATTTCATTTAATAGAATTCACATTTTCACTCTTTTTTAAGAAATTTTTTTCAGTTTGAATTTTATGAATAATAAGTTTTTCTTTTCAAATTGTGTTTTACAGATCAAATTCACTTTACTTCAAGAGCACAGTAACCAATACAATGTTTTTGCTAGTGTCCATGGAGACCGATAGAATACATCCCACTGCAGAGAAAATTCTGCCTACAGAAGTGAAATGAAAGTGATCCATGAAATGCAATTAAAAAATAATATTATATATATATAAAGAATACATTTGAAATAAATAAAAAATAAATAAATCTGAGAAAACAGGAAGTAAGTCTCAAAACAATTGTTTTTTCAAAACTTTATTTTTGTATGTCTTTTTATTTTAATTTACAGTTATTTCTTTTTAGAAATAACTGATCAAAATTCCCTCCATAAGTGCAGTGCACCACCTGGCCCTTGACCGCGGGCTGATAAATGTACACAGAACCAATAGAAACCGACCATCCGGCCATAAACCTGGGGGACCAGGAAGCAAAATAAATGAACAGTTAATATTGTGTGTCTGAATTCTTCAAACTTCATGATCCAAGCAATTGTGGTGGCTTTGGAAATGCCGTTCTTTTACGCTGCCTTCTGGACCTCAGGGTTTCGTGCACCTAGGCCTTACGGGTCACAAGCTTTACCTCTAAACCGCCACTGGTCTACGCTTCAGTAAACCTTTTGGTGTCTTTTTCTGAACCAACCAATGCTGTCCACATCCATGGGGATAATTTCTTCACCAAAAATAAGCTCTAAAGAAGCTCTACCATGTCACTGTTATCTAGTGTTATGGAGTTAAAATAAACCTAAAACACTAGATCTGAAAACTTTTCACAGTTCGAGTTACATCTGAATCCCAAGTTCAGTCCTTAGCTGAGGAGGTTTTATTGTTTTACTTTGTCTGAGTGTGTGTCTGTGTGTGTATGTGTGTGTGTTTGTTTGGGAGGAGTGACGCGAGTAACAAGAAGCTCTGACAGTCTTTGGAGCAAAAAATAGCCTTCTACGGCCATCCCTCTCGTAGCCACGCTTGTATTGGTGGGAGCTGCCTGCCCAAACTCCGCCCTCTTTCTCTGTAAAGGAGAACAGGTGGAAACGGATGGGATGAGTCGGATACTATTGCTGGTCCAGCAGCTGGGGGACCCTGCTTGTCCCTCCGTTGACAGGCTGGACTAATGGACTGCGAAGTGCTGAAGCAGGTCGCCAGGAGCCAAACCGCATACTGTCCACACACACACACATTTATCATCACCTGATACTTATGTGAACAGATGTCTCACAACACCGACATGTAGTCCAGACAGTGGGCTCATTCTCACAGCATCCGTACATGTGTGTGAGTTCAACATGTAGGACTCAGAACACGCGTGTCCCATGTTGGTAACAGCTGATCAGATCCTCTGCTTCTTACCCTGGTTGATTCCAGTGCTGTTTGCTACTATACCTTTCTGGTGTCCGTCTCTGATCAGACAGCGCCCTCAGGTGGTCAGCACTGCTCAATTTAAGGAGAAATTGTTTATGGAGGCCTTAACATTTTAAGACAAGCTTTATTTTAATTTGTTCTGCTATTTTTTAAGAAACTAGGGTTAAACCAAAACAATTAAGTATATTTTCCTGAGCTGCAAGCCTTCACCTTGGCTTCTTTTTAAAGGCATATTCACTTATGCATGTTTTTCATGTTTTTCCCCCAGACTCTACGTAAGAAGGGTTTAAACGGCTGCGAAAGCCCTGACATTGAAGCCGATGACTCTGCTGGCCAGAGCCCAGAGTTAGATGACAAGTACTGCAAACTGACTGAGGACATCGATCTGATGATCAACAGACAGAGACTCTGCGTAAGTTTAGGCCTGGTTTCTGTTTAAAGTCTTTGTTTTATGGAGTTTCTATAAAAATTCTCCACTTGGTCCAGCAGGGTCTGCCTCCCTCCAGCTATGACATGGGGGTGAGCATCCCAGGCAGCAACCCCGGCGGGCTGCTGTACACCCACCAGGGCTTAGGGGGTAATCACAACCTTCTGCCTGTCACTCACTCGTCCTTGCAGAGAAACACCATGTCCCCTCAAAGGCCTTCCAGCACAGAAAATGCAGGTATGTCTACGTTCAGTTGCACTTTAGTTCAGGGGTTAATCAGGATTTTCTGACGATGAATTCGGTAAAAAGTTTTTAAAAGTTACAAGATAACTTGATTAGTGTCTGTTTGCTGGTGAAGATTCTCAGTCTTCCAGGTTATAGTGATTTTAAAAAAAAAGTAAAAAAAAAAAGTAAAAAAAAAAAAAAAAAAAAGAATCCACTGGACTTTGTTTCCAAGTTTGAAAAGGTTTTTACTTCCCATCCAGGAAGTTTTTTTTTCAATTCAAAATGTCAGAAAAATTGTTGATTTGTCCAGAATGTTCATATTTTGGACAAAGAAGGCAGGTGGTTTGAGAGGGGCGTGAAGGAAGCCATCTGCGTTAAAAAAAAAAAACAACATCAAACAGAGAGGGTGGAATCAGATTTCAGCTTTCAAAAACTTACAATGCAGCAATTGATTTGATTCCTTCCCGCTATCATTGCAACTCTAAACCCATTACAGGGGAACAGAAGACCTCGCCTGTCCAGCCAGGCCAACAATTCCCCTTTACCTCTCAAAATCCACCCGGGTGTTTACAACTAGCAACTCAGAAATGCTGGTGACACCAAAAGTTTAAAGCCCCACAGCTCTGGAACTGCAGGGATTAAAGTATTCCAGCCTGAGGCTGGATTACCAGCTGGTAGCGTTTCCCCAAGGGCAAAAATAATCACTCGAAAATAAATTGACAGTAAATAAATTTTAAAAAGGCAATCGAAATCCCCTTGTTTTTGACAGCCAATAGAGAGAAACTAACAGTATTAGCCAATCAGAAGAAGAAGGGGGCGGGTCTTAGGAAAGCGTGTATCTCCTCCTCTCGTTTCTTGCACCAGATAAATTGTGATACAGTGCTACATGTAAGTTCTACACGGAAAGTCACCTTGCGCCGTTTACGGCTCCATTCAACGGAGAGTTAAAAGTCATAATAATTTAAACTGAAAATGGAAAGAAGATTGAATTGAATGGAGAGGGCAAAATGAAACATGACTTAGCCCATGGTCATCAAGCTGCTGTTCGTGCGGCCACACAAACTACACGTTTGCCGGGGGAGCTACGGCAACAGCTGATGTACAAGCGTCAATAACTGACTGTGTATGCGAGTTAAAAATTAGGGTGTGTGCTTTCCTTGCTATATACGACCTCTCATTCACACTAGATATAGATACACTTTCGCCATCTTTTGGCCGTTTTTCATATTGGATTTTCAAAAGTCAAATTTAGTCTTCAATCATTCATGCAATCTCTGATCCCATATCCCAACACCCCCCTGACATGGGCTTCCATGGGACTGTTATACTTAGGGGTCTGAGATTTTCTTTATTGGGCTACTGGGTAAAGCCTGGAACTTGAAATGTAAAAGCTTCCTGGATGGGAAGGGAAACGTCTTCAAACTTGGAAATAAAGTCCAGTGGATTTTTTTTTTTACTTTTTTATTGGATATGTGTCCGTTATTCAGTGGAAATCCAGTTCAATGACTCTTTGGACAGCAAAGCTACCTGCTAATCCAAGAGGGGCTAACACCCAGCAGGACCTTTAACACTTGTCATGTTTATGTTGGGATTTTATATTTACACAGACTCAATAAATGTTTTTCATGGATATAAGACCCAGAGAGCAGCACTGGTCTTTCTTTGTGTAACAGTGTGAAATATTTTTCCGTCTCCCTGCAGGGCTGCTGGGTTCCGAGCTTCCAAACACTATTGTCTCCAGTGTAGGTAAGGCCGTCTGCACTCTTCTCTTCCACAACTAACTCTAAACCGTCATCATGGTCAGAATGAGCTTCAGGTAACACTGGATTATGTTTTCTCACAGGAAACGGCAGCTTTGGCTCTCATTGCGCCTCCCCTGGACTCATGTCTTCAGCCAGTATCTCCAAGAACATGCAGGACAAGAGTCCTCCTCAAATGAGCATGAGCCACAAGCCTGACCTGCGGACACTGATGCCACCCAACAAGTGCTCCATCATGCCAACCGTTGTGAGTGATTCTCATCATTTCCCATTTTTTAAAGTTAGTTGTACCTTTGTATAGTTTTTACCTGTGGTGTCACGACATGTTTTCAGTTCCCATGGGGTCACCATCCTTTTTAAGGCATAGGGCCACTTCAAGAGTACTGGGTCATAGGAAGATCTACGGATACTGACCCTTGAAGTGCAGGGGTCAGCGTTCACCTAAACTTTGTAGATTATAAACATATTTTTAGTTTTTATTTTCATTTCTAATATTATTTTAGACATTATCACTTTTAAATGCTCTATATAGAATTAAAAAAGAGGAGCAACAGAATAAAATAGCATTTAGAACTCAGTCCACCGGCAGGTTATTCTAGACTCTGAGTGTCATGGTTTTGGTTCTGTTCAAGTTGTATCTCTAAGTTTTCATTGGTCTTATTTCCATTTTTGTGTTCAACTTATTTTTTATTTTATATGAGTTCTTAGTTTCTTGTTCGCCCTCTTGTGTCAGTCTCCTTTGCCCCAGCTCCCTTCTTGCCTCCTCTTTTCACCCCTGCTCCCAATTTGCTGGGTCCATATCTGGCTGGTTTGTACTGCCACAGTGGGGTGGAGGTTTGAAGGTGGACCCAATGCAGAAACAAAAGCTGAAGGTGGTTACTTGCAAATTTTAATAACAAAAAGGGTAACAAAAGCAAAAATCCAAAACTACTGAAAACAAGGAATATTCAAAACAAGGGGGCAAAGAAATGATGACAAAGAGTGACGGGAGGGAAACAGAGACCAGGCTAATTAGCAGACTGGGAGCAGGTGTGAACAGAGGCAGGAAGGGAGTTAGGGAAAAGGAGACTGACACAAGAGGGCAAACAAGAAATATCTAAGAACTCATATACAATAAAATGAAAACTTAGAGATAAAAGTTGAACAGATGTTGTTTTTATGTTGTGTTATGTTACAAGCATGTATTTCATTTTTATGAGCAAGAAGAGAGCATTTATATTGGGCGTAAAGTGAAGAGAATGTGATCTATAAAACACAATTTGAAAATAATGCAATTCCTAAAACTCAACCTGAAAAAGAGAAATCAAAAAAGTGAAAATATAAAACACTAAAAAAATAAAAATAAATAAAAACCTAAGAAAACACTAAAGTTACTCTCAAAATCTCTTTTGATGAATAATTTTTTCAATTTTTAAGTTTTATTTCTTGTTGCATTTGTATTACATTTTTAAATCTGTTTACAAATGTGTTCTTTGCATGTTGCAACAATAATGGAGCAAAATCTTAAACTAACTATATAACATTCAGAATTATTTTTTTCTCGAATGTCCAGAACCAGAGAATAAATCACTCCCAGGCGGCTCAGACACCTGCAGTGTCCATCGCTGCGTCTGGCATTGGTGGTTATCCATCCGCCATTTCCTCTTACAGCACAGGTGAGTGCAGACGCACTGATGAAAGCTGCTGAAGGCTGCAGGCCTCATTTTGAAGAGATGTTTAAGGACATATTTTTTCCCTCCCTCAGAGTTCTCCCTCGGCGGTGACCTGTCCTCTCTTTCTGGGTTTGGAGGTTCTGGTCTGGGATCAGTGACGAGCTGGCAGCAGCAGCAGCTCCACAGTCTGCAGCACTCTGCACTGGGACACATGGGGTGGGTCTTTAACACTCTGAGTTTGTCTGCTGTTATTATCGGATCTATTTAGTTTTAAATAATGTGCTGAAATTAAAGGTTAGGTTTTTTCAATATTTGGTTTTATGGTGCAGTAATGTACCAGTAAAAACAATTGATTTGATCATTGTTCCCCAGTTATTTTGAAATGTTTTAAAAATGTCAAACATACTGTTACCTTAACCCAGAATAAATCCATTTAGATTGTTTCTAAGTAATGTGTGAGGTTTATGAGGGCTGTTTGATGGGAAATCTAATCCTCTGTCCACAGAAACTTGTGCCAGAACTCTAACCTGGACCTCCCCTCAGTTCATCACAACCTTCACATAAAGTGTGAGCCCGCGTCTCCTCCCAGGGACCGCAGCGTCGGCGCGGTCGGGGCCGGACTAAGAGCAGGCATGAACCCAGCCGGGTACTCCATGGGCGGCGGCCGCGGGCCGCACGAATCTGGCAGCTCCCCTGGCGACAGTGCGTCCAGCTGCGGCAGCTCATACGAAGGCAGCGAGGAGCGCGAGGATCACCATGGCAACGGGGGTTTCCTAATGCAGCCGCTGCCCAATCAGGAGGAACGTCACAGCCCATCAGTAAAACGAATGAGGCTATCAGAAGGCTGGGCCTCATAATGGGAGCCGCCCTCAGGCACAGGGTGGGGGTGCAGAGAAAGTTACCATATAGTGTTATTATTATTATTATTATTATTAATAATATCATATTCTTCTCGTACGGAATGCATGTGCTTTATGTTTAATGGTGGCGTGTCGTTGAGGCGGCTGGTCTTGCGATACTGCAGGTCAGGATCAGTGCACAAAACCTGAAAAAAACTAAAATTTTGGAGTTTGATCTGTGTGTCAAAATATTTTCAAGATTATTTATAATCTGCGGGGGAAGAAGTTCATGCAGCAAAAGTTTACTGCATCTATAATCCATCCAAGTCACCAAATATATGATAAATATAGTCTGACCAACATCAACCATGAAATATATGAAATATACCATTTTAACAGGAAGAAACCTTCATAAGAACCAGGTTCAGTGTGAGCGGAGATTTGCTGTGACCGACTGGGGTTCAAGGAGACAGAAGCAGAGATATGTCAACTCATTAAATAATACACAGTTTAATCTTCTCGGCATCTTTCTCTCTGACCTGTCTGCTATTTAAACTCTGTGGTAAAGTTGAAAGGGTTTTACCAAAAACTCTTTAAATCTTTTTATAATAATTATTTTGAGTAAAAACTTTGTCTTCCCTTTGCTAAATCGGACCTCAGACTTTTTTACAAAAACTTTTTGACACACATTTGAAACTTGGGAAATGTTTCTTTTTTTTCTTAATGTGTACGCTGATAGATGCGTATTATGCTTGAGATGATAGAAAGCTGGGAGGTCGGACGGTGTATATTTACTGCTTGTTTTCAGTGTGTTTAGGACAGTGTGGGGATAATAAGTCTGCTGCAAACTAATGAAAAGGTCAAGAAGTCTGGTACTCTGTACAGCGAAGCTGCTGGTGAGGATCTGTGCTCGAGCACTCGGTCTGCAGTTCTTATGCAAGCTGCGTTGCAGGTTCAACACAAACAAATGCTTTAAATGTTTTGCACAAGAAAAGACGAAGGAATTGAGAGGGAAATAAGCTGAGGAAACAAGTAGGAAAAGAGTGAAGGAGAAGGTGCTGATAAGGGGGATTTTCGACTAACAGAGGAACAGTTTTATTGGAAGTTTAAAAGCCACATAGAAGCTGCTATTGGTTCTGTTATTCGAAAGGCTTGAGGACAGGCGAGGGTGTTGAGATGGTTGTAGAGAGGTCTGTGGGAGCGAGGGCAACAGGTTGCTTAGTAATTAAACATTGTATACATTTATTTGATACTGAGATACTCAGTTTTTCATTAGCTTTCTGAGTTGCGTGGCTAAAAACAATCCAGAGAGCCAAAACCAAGAAAAAAGGAGCAGAGGAGGCTGGATCTGAACCTGAGAAACAAACTGTGAAAATGAACCACTACAGAATAACCATTGTTCCATGTTTTCTTTTGTTTCCTAATGACTGCTGGGTATAAACTGGAATCACAGCTGCTGTGGCAGCAAATAAGTTTCAACTAAAACCTCAAAAAACAGCTACATTTAGAAAGTGGGATGTGGGACACCTAGAGGCAAACTTTTGAACTACAGCCAAATAACTCCAACCCATTTACCCCTGGAATATGATGGCCATAAACTAGTGTAAAAGTAGAATCATTAGGCTTGTTTATTATAGATTTTGTGGCGTTTATTTATTTTTTGAATTATTTATGTAAAAAAAATCAAAAAAGGGAAAAAGTTAGAAATGTGTGTCTAAGCAATGCTTCTTCAAAATGGTTAAATGGTTTCCATTAAAACACTAAATATGCTTTTTACTATGTTCTTTATCTTTAAAATTAATTAGACGTTAAATGACAGTTCTGCTTTTTATGCTCCTGTGGTTCTAATGAGTCTCTAGTCACTAAATCACTGCAATGTTCTGCATGTTTTTTGGCCATTTATTTATAACTAATACTTCTCAGCCCATTCCTTTGTTGATCCCTCTGTTGTGGTTCCCTTTCACTGTTTTCTTTCTAGTCCACACTAAGTTAGATTTTGGTTTTGGCCATTTTTCCCACTGTAACACAAGTTTTTACAAAATGATAACGGAGCAACGCTGTGATATTGGTCAGAGCTGTGGAGAGAGTTAGGTGCACAAACCTGTGATGTTCTGTTTTAGAAACGAAGGTTTCCTTTGTTATTTTGACTAAGGCATGTTTTATTGTGCTCTGCGGTCCACTCTTCTATCTGAGGTATAAACACAAAAGGAAGCTCAACATTTTAGAGGCTGGTGTCAGACCCTGTGACAGTTTACAGCAGCAAACACAACAGCTGCACACTTGTTCATTAACATTTGCAGGAAGCGCAAATTACTCAGGTCATTTATTTAAAGGAATATCCTATTAGAGCGATGCTGTGATGACTTAATGGAAGTAACCGGGTATTATTAGCAGGATGTATATTTATGCAAATTTTATTTAAAATGGTATCTCAAGGTACTAATATTTATCATATCCAGTTTTAAAGAAATAAAAAACCCATACCAACCAATGCAAACATGTAAAATCAGATCATAAAACACAGTCATTTACATAAAGTCCAAATAATTTGGCCTAATAGCTTAGAAAACGTATCCCACTAAAAAACAAATGAAACCTCTACTTCCAGATGTAGACCTTGTCTGAATATGAGATCTGAGAAATGTTCAGAGAGTTCAGAGACTGAGAGCTGGATGTTTTGATTAAATATATTCAGGCATCAATTATGGACGTTTTTTTGTTTGTTTATGACTTCCAAGCATTTTTGAAATTGTTGAATTTAAAGTTCTAGTAGAACAACAAACTTTTTTTTGTTTTTGTTTTTTTGCATTCTAAAATTAGGCTAAAAAAAATCATGCTCAGCAACTGAATCTGTTTGTCTCCTTTTATGAGATATAAAACACCAATAAATAGTTGAACTTTGCAGCTACCTCTGTTTATGAAGCCATTTTAGTTTAGAGGCTGAGGTTGGTTAAAAACCTGCTAGGCTATTCCAGCTTTTAAACATGAAGCTCAGTCATTTCCACCCCAAAATTCCTGCACCCTATTTCAGTCAGTCTGACACCAGCCACACATCCAGTTTTTTGTTTGTTTTATTTAATAAAGCAGGACTGCTATTAATATCCCCGCTAGTGTTTTACTTTTGCTTCCTTTGTTTTTTTTTTGTGTATTAAAGAGACAGGGGTGGCTGGGGGTTCTAATTTGAATATTTTTGCTTTAAACTGTATATTTGGAGCTCGACCCCTCAGCCACTCTTTAATTTTTCTGCTAGCACCACGATTTGTTTAGAAAATGGTGAAGCAACACATGTTGCTGTTCATTAGCTGCATATTCTCAGTGTCAGACTGAAAAGATGTGAGGAAAATGAGCCAGGAGCTCATCTCTAGGCTCCAGGTGGCGCCAGCTGACTGCAGGTGAAGGTAGGAGGCTGGCTTTAAGAGAGGATGTAAACTAAGCAGCTCCACTTATGTGCACATAAATCTGGATCTTTGTCTGGTACCTAAAAAGCTCTAATAAAAATTGTTGTACTTTTTTTTTCATCTGGTGACATTAATAAATGTATTCTGATCAAACAATGTAAGAGTTTGATCGCCCCCATCACATATGCTTCCAGCTATTGGGCTTAGATTTACCCAGAAATTGTTAGCGGCATGAGCGGGCCTTCTGTCGCCACCTGACTCAACAGTGAACCAGGTGCTCATCGTTTGTTGCAGAACTCCCTCACTCAGATCTGTGGTAGTGTTTGTATTTTGCAGAAAAAAATAAAATAAAAAATGCCCATGTTTTGTTTCAGCCATCTGTGTGTTTTTTGTGTTTGGGTTTCAGTCCCTGCAGGTGTTTAATTAATTGTTTAAATTTAGTTTATATGGCACCAATTCACAGAGAAATTTCAATAAGACATTAAAGTCAGATTGGTTAGATTTTTCTTCTAAGGAAAACTAGCTGATTACATTGAGTTATTGACTTGCAGGACACAGTCTTCCTGGATGAGCGTGCAGCAATGATATTCCCTTTTATTTTGTTTTTGACTCCTTAGCACCAATTTACAGCGCTCACTCACGCCAAACATGCATCCAGCAACAGTGGAGAGAAAAAACTCCCTTTTAACACGAAGAAATCTCCGGCAGAACCAGGCTCAGTGTGAGCGGCCATCTGCTGAGGCCGACTGACGTTCAAGGAGAGAGAAGCAGACATACAGAAAGAAGAAGAGATACAAAAGATAACCGTAAACTACCTCCACGGGTGGCTCTGTCTGAAAAAGAAACTGAGCCAGTTTTCATGTCAAAGGATGAAAGAGATCACATACTGTTACAATAAATTATATTAAAAAAAAAAGATGAGCCCATGGAGAAAATGAGAAACAAGACTAAACACACAAAAACTGTCTAATAATCCTACCAATTGGGAGCATTTATATAGGAAAGAGAATTGGCCTTATCACCTGAGGTAGTACTCCACAGGTAACCAAGGCGGGATTTATCATTAACATAAACAGAAATCTGTCAGACAAATAAGATTCAAACCAGCCTAGCGCTGTTCCCTCGATTCCTAAAAATAGACTTTCTAAAAGAATATTTTGATCAAGCACTGAGAATAACAGGTACAGGGACAAGTCCATTATCTGAGGCCATGAGAATATCATTAGTGATTTTCACCAGAGCTGAGCTCTTCAAAAAGTTCATTAACGTTTAGGTGGCTAAACGCTTGTTTAGGAACTATTTTCTCAAAAAAAGTTAGATGATAAAGGAAGATTAGATATAGGTGTATAATTGACCAAGTCACAGGGATAGATTAATCACATCTATAATGGAGGAGGAGATCAAAGGGACTACTTCCCTAAATAACCTGGCTGGAACTGGATCTAACATACAAGTTGAAGGCTTAGATGAAGACAATAATTTTTCTAACTCTGAAACTTCGATTGGATGAGTACAGCCTAAACCGCTGAAGATAGATGGTGGTGCCTATCTTCAGCTGTCTACAGATGAGAGCTGGGGTCCATCCTGAACAGGTCGCCAGTCCATCGCAGGGCAACACAAAGACAAACCGAAATAATAACCATTCACACTCACATCTAAGGAGAGTTTAGAGAAGCCAGTTAACCTAACAGCCATGTTGTTGGACTGTGGGAGGAAGCCAGGGTACCCAGAGAGAATCCATGCATGCTCAGGGAGAACATGCAAACTCCATGGATACAGACCCCGAGAATTGGACCCAGAACCTTCTTGCTTAAAGACAGCAATGCTACCTACTGTTCCACTAAGCAGCCAAATTATCTTATGCTTAATAGCATAAATCTCATTTATAAATATTAACATAAAATTTTTATTTCTAAGAGCAGGGGGGTGGACAGTTCAACAGATCTATAGCTTGGGGTGAGTTTGGCAACTGCATTAAAAATAAATCTAAGATTATTCTAATTCTTTATATCTAATGAAGATAAATATGGTGTTCTTGATTTACAAAGGGTTGTTTTATACAGCAGTAAACTGTTTTTTTGAAGACTAGGCAGGATTCCTTTCTAGTTGATATTATGCTTCAAAGTGTATTAAAACAAGGAGCCAGCCTCCTATTAAAAAAGTCCTTCTTTATTTAAGGGCTACGTTGTCTAAGCAGTGCAGAGATGAGAAGTAATCTCATCAACAAAATCATAGTTTTTTTGTAGGATGAATAATTTAAATTACGCCCTCTGCAGTATTGTTCAGAGATACAGAGGAGATAAACAGTGGAACAGATTCTTTATAATTTATAACAGCATTATGTGATAATGATCTACCAAGGTAAAAGTTTGAAATATTATTATTTCTTCTCGGTTAATGTTATATATAAGCACAAGGTCCAATGTATGACGATTAGAATGTGTGGGACTACGCATATTTTAAACAAAACCAATAAAGTCTAAATGAAGACTAACCTCTCAAAATCCACCGAGTCACCGGCGGCCCATTTTAAACCATTTAAAGTATTTAAAGGTATACTGAAGGATTTTCTTTTTCTGGGTGCATCATCAAAATAAGTGGTCCTCCTAATTGTCAGTCATTCTGGTGAAATATTTATGTAAGGCCGTCCTACATGCTCGTCCTCAGTTAACTGTCTTTTTCCCTTTTATGGGCTGAGCTACAGTTTCAGCCAGTCATTGAAACTCGCCTTTCTCACCGCGGTTGTTTGAAAATGGCTGAGGGTTGTAAGAGAAAAAGTGTCTATGAAGTGTATGAGAAGAAAAGAAAGGCCTCAGAGGAGAGAAACTACCAGGGTGTTTTTGGGAGATTCTTTCCCACACTGAAAGCACAGCTCGGGCTTCCCACTGATGCCTCAGTTGCAAAGTTTCTACTCGACAGGCACATCACTGCTAGTAAAGCTATCTCTACCTCTATATTGTAACTTTCCAGGGAGGATCAGTTTATTTATTTTTTACTTAGTTCTACAGTGGCCACAGATCTTTATTTACCCCACAAACATCTCCATATTTCAACTATAGCACACACACATACAAACATGTAATGTTATAATTAATGGACAAGTATTTGTGGGGAAACGTTTTATTTATAAATATGGGTGAGATGAGATCCATCCGAGCGACCGTCTTATCATTGAGAATCAGGAGAAATGGGCTCACACTCTCACACATGTTTGAAAGGCGTTCCCTCTCAGGAGCAGGTACAGGGTTGTGCATGTGTGGAGAGGGCAGGTTTTTCCAAAAAATCGCGAGTATCCTCCACCTTTAAAGTATCACCTTTAATGTCAGCATGAATTTTAAAATCCCCCACTATGATGACTAAATCAGTCATCGAAGTCTGAAAACTGATCTAATAATTCAGAGAGGTGGACCTGGTGGATGATTCAAAGTTGAAAACAGAAGTTTTGTTGCTTTACAAATTGGATAAAGGAAACTAAGGGGTACATTTTTAAATGGTGCACCTAACGTAAACATTAAGAAACCCTAAAGTGCACAGAGGGAAAACTATTTCAGTTGTTAATCTAATCTTTAACTTGCTTAACATTACGATGAAAAATTGTTATACAGAAATTAAGGGCAATGCAAAAGCATTTTAACCTTTCAAAACTTCAGCATGTCCTATCGTCTGACCACAAACCTCTACTTTACTGAGATTTAATGTGATGAAATCTCATTAAATTTTGTGTATACAAAATGACAACATTTCCAAGAAGTTCCCAGCTGAGAGGCTACATGTTGTGTTTAAGTTTTTCTAAGGAGACACAGCAGCAAACATGGAGAGAAGTGCTAAAACATCATAAAACCTGCTGCTGGCAGCATCAGGTGAAGGAATTTAACCATGAACAAAGGGCTTGTCAGTGTTGATCGGGGAATGGATAGAGCTAAATACAGGAAAATCCTGGAAGAAAATCTGTCATTTCAATTTGTATCCCGAGTGTGTTGTTGTCCAAAGATCTTATTTGGTATTTTTGGTCTATGCAAAACTTGCAATGAGGAGATTCTTATTCACGTACTTAAGAACCCCCAAAGCCTGAAGTTTTCCCAGAAAGTCCATTAAAAAAGCAACAACAAAAAAACTGCCTAAATGACTGATTTTTAATCCTCTGTATAAAAACCAAAAAAATTCAAAGCTGAATTCAAAATGACCCAGAAGTACTCCCATCTTTAAGTGGACAACAAAAGAAGCCTACCTTTCAATATTGGTACACACAGTACTGTATATGATCTCTAACATCCCTTTTGGCATGAAAACAGACTCCTAGCTCTTCGCTTGGTTATTTCTTTCCCAAACAGAACCACCTCTGGAGTTAGTTTAACGTTACAATTTCTAACACAGAAACTATCTGTGGATCAGTGTTTCTATGTTCCTTTTTCTATGTCAGCTTCTGTCTACCTGAACTGCCAGTTGGCATCTGCAGAAGGAAGCTCACAGTGAGTCTGTTCTGCTGGAGGTTTCTTCCTGTTCAAAGGAAGTTTTCCTCTCCACTGTTGCTAAAAGCATGCTCAGTGTGAGGGATTGCTGCAGAGTTAACAGGACAATGCAAGCAAATATCTTCTTGTATATTTGGTCATCCTGATGCAATCAGCTGGTGTCTCCTAGATAGAAAACTTTGAACTCTAAATCTGAAAGTGGTACAAATATTCCTAGGTTTGACCATGCTGCCGTTGCAGGTAGGAAAACCACCCTATTTAAGCAAACACATGATACTTATCAATCTAAGAAGCAAGGTTCACCTTTAGACAGGAACCAGTTATTAAACAACTGAAATAATCCAACCAAGATGAATGTTTCCTCTACATGTTTAATGGCTAATGACTCTGAAGTAAGTTAAAATAAATGAACACTAGATGGCATCATGGCTCTGAGAAAATTCATCGGCAGACTGATGTATTTGCACTGATCTCTATTCACTGGATTGCTGATTGCCCATTGGTAGTAAGGGGCACTGCATGAAAAGTGAGATTTTCGTCCCCGTAAACCCCCGTAAACTCCCGCAGATCTGCCTGATTTTCGTCAGTTTCCGACAATTTGCAACCCGTGCTTGTCCGCGTTTGTCGTGCCACAAATTGTCGGAAACGGACTCTGACGTATGTGGAGAGCGATCAGCTGTACTAATGGCCCTAATTAGCATATGAATGCAGCAAACCCGCGCGGCTGGCCAGGTCTGGCTTGAATAACCAACTCAGTATTGGCTGAAACCACTATTCTCAAACAAGTGAAATCGCTCGTGATTGGCAGCAAAACCACACGTGGCCACGCCAGGCTTTAATTTTCTTACTGAGTATTGGACGGAACCGCTTCCTTTTAAACAAGTAAAGTCGCTCGTGATTGGTT